GGAAAGGAAAGGAAAGGAAAGGAAAGGAAAGGAAAGGAAAGGAAAGGAAAGGAAAGGAGGAAGAAAGGGGTCCTGGATAGAGCAAAAAGCTATATCTGAGAGTTATTACAGAGTTGAACAGGGATCACACAAGCACCTGACAAAGAAATGCTAGGCACTGCCATTCAATCTATGTTTGTGGGGAGAGGGAGAAGATGACTGATTATATGCTGGAGTCAAACTGCCATTTGCATGTAGCAATAGGATATGTTTGTTGAGGAGCCTAACCAGATGTGAATGACTGCGTGAAACAGGAAGTCTACATACAAAACTCCTATTCCTGGAATGGGGGTTCTGAATCTAAACATCCTGTTTCTCCTCCAAAACGGGTGGGTGCTATTAGTGTAGATCAGTGTTTCTTAACCTTAGCAACTTGAAGATGTGTGGACTTCACCTCCCAGAATTCCCCAGCCAGCATGGCTCACTGGAGAATTCTGGGAGTTGAAGTCCACACATCTTCATGCCACCATGGTTGAGAAACACTGGTGTAAATGACATATTGTTAAAAGTGACTAGAACGTATGAAACTGCAGCCAATCTCTATTGACTTTGTTGCTGCTGTTTTCTGTTATTGTTACATTTTCAGGAATAAGGAGATCCTCTATGGAATTTGTCTTGTCCTTTTGGGCAGCTGTGCAGATGGGCCCAGTAGATGAGGATAAACACATAGGCAGTGGTAAGAGGAACACAGAAAAGGTGAGCCTACTCAAGGACGGTGGTCCATTTTCAGGGTGACTCATTCATGATTTAAATGCAAAAACAAAAATTAAAAACAAACCCAAACCTACCAAGTTTTCCATATTTAAAGTTTCACCTCAATTTTGCACACAATGAACCGGAGAGAATGTGACTGAACCCAAAGCTTTGCCTACTTTTATTTTTTACTTTTTTAAAGGATGCTAAATGAAGAGCATTTCACACAATTCTCTGGACCAAGTGAGATGTATAATTTTCCATGTTAGATCAAGGTGTGGCTTTTTACTAAAAAGCCTGACTGCATTTGGATCTAGTTTTAACTATTTGTCTCCTTGCTTCCAAAAAGATTAAAGGATTAAAAACCCCTCCCACCCCCAAAGTTGGGCCCCAATCTAGATTGGGCCCCCATGCTGTCTATGTTTATATAGTTTTTAAATGCTATATATTAAACCAGGGATGAGCAATGCAAAGTGCGCAGGCAGCATATAGACATGAAGGTCCCTGAGATGCTACCACTGAAATTTACCAGGGAACCATTGTCATATCTAGTTTGGTCCTTAGATTGAAGGAGGAGACATTTGAGTTTGGGTTATGAATGAATGAAGATGGGGCAGACATGGCACATAAGGAAGGTTAGGGGAACTGAGGCCCACTTGATTAGGTGGAAGGCAATGTGCCTTGAAAGCTACTTACCAGCTCATCACGTTGGATTTCTTGGGACTTGTACACCATGCCTTTGACATCTGAGGCAGACACATTGACCTGTGGGGAGGACAGGAGGTGGTTTTAGATTTGGATTACACAACCAGGGAGACACAAAGCACAATGGGTAATCCAGCAACACTGTCTTCCTCTTAGTGCCAAATCACTCCAGTCACATGGGACAACTGCAATCTAGTCCTCATACAGAGTGCATAGCTCCTTTACTCCAATTTACAACCTAAACAGTCCAGCATTTTCCCCTTTCAGGCTGGAAAACTGCATGGGGGAACATGATGCAGTTCTCCACACAACGGGACAACCTCAATGCATTAACCTTTACAAGAGGGCAATTATTCATTTGAAAGCACACTCATCTCAAATGTCTCCATAGACATAGTACAAATAATATATGGAAAAGAGATGGACTCAGTACATATTACTGAATCTATGAGGCCCTTTGCCATTTTTCCATGTTGTATCAATGACTTAGAACAGTGTTTCTCAACCTTGTTGGCTTTAAGATGTGTGGACTTCAACTCCCAGAATCCCCCAGCCAGCATGGGAGCAGCATTCCCAGCATTCTGGTAGTTGGTCCACACATCGTAAAACCAACAAGGTTGAGAAACACTGACCTAGAACATCAAACAATAAAGAGAGCCAATATAGACTTTGGTCACTTGTCTCAAATAAAGTTGATGGAGTTCTCTCTTAGTCTGATCTCCTTCTGAATGATGTCATGAGGTTAACACTTATTTAATATTAAGGAATCAGCTTAAGATTGAAACCTCTATTATACAACAAATACTTCAGTGTGAATCATAGTGGTTCTTTTTTCAATGTTATATTCAACTTTGGATGAAAAAGCCAAATAAAATTATGTGTGTAATATTGAGATCCTACATTGTAATTAATATTGCTAGAGTACTTTTTCTTCCTCTTCTCTCTTCTCAATACTCTAAGCTATCTAAATAGAATGTTAACAATTTTTAATCATATTATAGAAACATCACTGTATTTAAATAATACAGCGTATCAATCCTAACAACATATTAAAAAGGAGGAGAAAAAAAACACTGGAGAGGTAAATCACATATATTGCTTTGAACTACTTAGAACAGTGCTTCTCAACCTTGGCAACTTGAACACATTGGACTTCAGCTCCCAGAATCCCCCAGCCAGCCAGGTTGAGAAACACTGACTTAGAACAAGGTAACAGCATTCATCCAGATGTTACTGAACTGTAAATCTCATTAGCCCTAGGACTGTGGAAGCTGTAGTCTACCAATTCCTCGAGGATCCCACATAATCCTCCCTCCAGTTTGGAGGACTGTAAATGTAATAAACAGCACTGAAAATAGCAAAGTCCAAAGGGTTTCCTCTGAACCTACCTTATGTTCATACTCATACAGCAAGGCTTTGTCACTAGTCGGATAGTCATATTCTGCCAACCCTGAAGCTGTGGAGAAAAGAATCAGGTGAGGGTTAGAGGAACAGAGACCTCAGGTGGTAACAAACAACAAGCCCATCTCCTTTGGTCCCAGTAATTGCTACTAAACATACAGAGAAGGACTCCATGAAGATCTAGAGATGAGGACTTACCTTTCTTGTCGGCTGATTCAGAATCTGTCCGTTCCCCACACAGCACCAGAAGGAGAGAAGGAGAGTGTGGCAGAAAGGAAAAAGAGAACAGAAAAAGAAAGATAATTTTGAGAAGAAGGGCCAAGAGACACACAACATGGTGCTGAGACAGGGGAGACAAAGCTGATGTGCCCACCTCTTCCCCAGGAGCAGAAAACAGGGTACTCTCTTCCTCAATTCTCCCCCGAGAACAAGAGATAGATTGGGCTGAGAAAGAATGCTTGTGTTTACAACAATTCACTTAACTAGCTACTGAATTAACTCATTTTCTAGCTTTGCACAATGCATTGAACCAAAAGCTAATAGAGGTAGCCCTCTGGTTATAATGGCAATCGGGACCGGAATTTCCATCACTAAGCAATATGGTCATAAAGTGCGACATCATGTGACCACATCACTTAGTGATGACAAACCCAGCAGTCCCAGTTGCTGTCGTAATCTAGAGACCATGCAGGACCTTAAGAGAAGACCCCACGTGACTGGAGTCCTAGGCAAGCAGGCTGGCAAGGGCTGCAGGTGGGCGCTGAGGCGGGAGACATAGGCAAGTGCTACAGAGTGTGGACAGGCTAGCAGCAGCTGCTACAGAATGCAGGTGGGTGGGGGTGTCCCAGGGATCTCGTACTCCATAGCGGGGCTCCTCAGGAGAAAAAGCAGCAGGAGCGACTCACTTTGAGTGATTGACTTTGCTTGTGGGAAGCCAGCAGGGAAGGTCGCAAATCGCGATCATGTGATTGCAGGGATGTTACAGCAGCCTCAACTTCACGGACCAGTCATAAGTACCAACAGAAGTGAATATGTGTAGCTCAGGGTTGAACTGTGGAGTCCTTGGGATTCTCTGAGCTTGGCAGTTTTCTTGCAAGCATTTCATTAATGTGCACTGAAAATGTTATCTAGCTGGGAATGAAACGTTTGCAAGAAAACTACCAAAGTCAGAGAACCCCAAGGACTCCAGTCATAAGTCCTCCTTGTTCAGCACCATTGTAACTTTGAATGGTCACTGAACAAGTGGTCGTAACCTGAGGACTACCTGTAAAATGATTTGGGTTCACATAATACTCTGAGCTTAACAAACAAACTAATCAAGGTTAAAGGTATGCATGTTTTGCATGTTGTGTGAATGCAGCTCCTAAATTTGCAAAGCACAATGTGGGGACATATCCCAGGAGTTGCCCAAAATGCTTACATGGCCTAGGGTGAACTTATACCTGGATCTTCTCAGTCTTAGCAAGAGTGTGATTCTCTAGAGTGGTGTTTCTCAACCTTAACAACTTCCAGAATTCCCCAGGCAGAATCTGGCTGGGGAATTCTGGGAGTTGAAGTCCATGCATCTTAAAGCTGCCAAGGTTGAGAAACACTGCGCTAGACTTTTCAAGTTGAAAAACATGCCTGAAGAAAGCAAACTGCCTGCCTGGTGCCAAGAAGACTACATGGACATGGACATGAAGTCATCAGGAGCCAAGTTCTACCCGAAAGAGATTTACCACTTTAAGTACTCAGTTACAGCATCACTGGTTTAGGCATTCACTTCTTGTAAGAGAAAGTAGCAAGACTCAAGATGAACACAGCCTGATTTTTGCCTAGCAATGCTTTCCCTTGTGTGTCTTCAATTCATCAGCAACTCAGAGGCAGTAGTGGAGTACGGCCACTATTAAAGAAGTGTAACCACAGATAGATCTTTAAGTGTTTGGTCCTATCTGGGAATGGATTGTATCCCTAAATTTTCATTAGAAAATAATGTTCAGGTGAAGGGAAACACAAAATCTTGGTTAACACAATAGACTCAACTGGTTAATTAAAGATTTAGCATCTGCTTATAGGCAACATGTTAAGCGTGGCTAGTTTTAATCTTGGTTTGTGACTTAATGTAATGGTCAACCCAGACCATCTGGTTACTTTATGGTTCAATGTATTGTTGAAACCCAGAAAATAAGATGATTTGATAACCAAGTTAAGTAAGTTATGAGAATCCAGACATGAAGCTGTCTTATATCAGGTCAGCTAACTGGTCTAGCTAATCCAGGATTGTTTAGTATAGCAGTGGTTTTCCATGTTTTTAAGTGGAACTCCTTCCCATTAACTCCTTTCTCTTTTGAAGTGGGCAGTGTTCTGAAATCCTTCTCCAAGTGAGTTTTGAGTTTTGGTTACTCCCTTTTCTGCACTGAGGTTTATCAACTTTCTGGATAATCCTTCATACCTAGTTAGTTACATTTAGCTTGGCATCCCCAACACGTGTAAGAAAGAAAGATTCTGTGTCACAGCAAACCAAAACAGAGCAAACATCACATTTTTCTTGCTGACAATGGTTCACATGCTGTGCTAAACAAAAGTTTGCTTAATCGTGATATGTCAAGCCAACGTCAAAAAACCACATTGTGGCTCTATATAATGTTTTAACCCTATTGATGGGTTAGATGAACTAGACTATCACTCTATTTTAAAGGAGGAAATGAAACAGATACCAAATATCAGTAAGGCTTTCTCTTTGAGGATCAATTGTATTAGGCAACCCTCTTTATGAACCTGAATACTGAGTCAACGGTTGATTTTTATAAATATAGTGGTACCTCGGGTCACGAACTTAATTCGTTCCACGACTCTGGTCGCAACCCGAATTGGTCGCAACCCGAATCAAATTTTCCCATAAAGTTCAATGTAATTATGGTTAATCTGTTCTGAACCATATGTGTGTTTTTTTTTAAACCACAAAAATATGACACAAAGTACAGTATGAAGAGAGAGAACGCTAACCTTGCTCGACATGACTTCTGGCGTGGAGGACAGGAAGGCAGGTGGAGAGGCAGTTATTGCTTGGAGGGAGAGTCCCCCTCCCTACAGGAAGCCACGACCATGTGTCACGGCAGGGAAAATGGCTGCGGAACCTGTTCATCACCCGATTCCGTTCGTGAACGGAAGCAGAATTTTGCGAACGGTGCTGTTCGTGACCCGAATTGGTCGTGAACAGAAGCGTTCATGACCGAGGTACCACTGTACAGGAAAAGTGGTCCAACAGCCTGTAGGAAGCTGACAATCCAAGTGAGACCATTTGTCTATCTAGTTCCTCTCTGTGTATTTTATAATAAAGTTTTTGGGGTTTTATTGGTGGACCTCAGCTTCCTTTTTAACTATTGATAATTTTCAGTCACTTAAAATCATGCCTAATGGTGTTAGGAGTGGATAAGACAAGAGAAAAGTGGGTTTTATTCTGGACAAGGCCACTTCTTGCTTGGACTATGTCTACTTCCTGCTTGGATGATGTCCTCTCCCTAATTTCTCATCTGGAAGCACTTCCAGCATTACAAAAATGACTGTGCACCCAAGGTCTTGCTAACCAATTCAATGACCCTTTAATGTTACCAGCAAAAGTTTATGCCATAATAAATATATTGGTTCTTAAGCCACTTTCTGAATGTTGATAAAAGAACAACACTATGAATTCTCTGAAAATTTCAGCAAAGGTCTTTATTGTTTGTTCCCAAATAGCCTTTTTCTACTGGAGAAAAGCATGTACTTTTAATGCTGAGTTATGGTCTTCTCCTTCCCTATCACATGTAACAGAATTTCTATATTTTTTCCTGCATCTTTGACCTTAGATAATCTCGCTAGCTGTCCTTCTCAACTTGCATGCAAGCTCAGCATTATTTTCAACTTATTGCCCTTTAACAGACCCAACCTATAACCCAAACCAACCATTTTTACAACAGGAATATATTTTTCTGTATATTGATATTGTTGACACTTCAACATCTTTCAGTGGTTCATCTAACTGTTTTCTATCAGTTGAAAGCAGAAACTGTCTATCCTAACATTTAGGATTACATTATTCAACTGCTCTGTAAAATAATAATAATAATAATAATAATAATAATAATAATAATAATAAT